TACGGAACAGGAGATCCCACTTCCTGGCGATGCGCAGAAACTAAGTAACCGCGTGCGAGACAGCAGGATTCTCTCAGTTGCATAGAGTTTCCGCCACAGCTCGGATATCCTGGAACGCACCCGCACTTTTGACACCAGGGGACCGCGTTTATACTTTGCGAATGTGGGGAGTTCGCTGTTTTGGAGAATCGGCTGCAGAGGCCATACACTACACCTCCGAGGATCCCGGTGCTTGCCGTATGCCAGGTAAATGAGCCCATAGCTGCGATAGCCTTCCACTTTTTCCGCTCAAGCACGGAAACGGTGCTGGAGGATTGGTACCCGGGTGGTGTCTTCCGACTCCGCCCGCGCGCAAAACCGACCACACGCCTGACCGCAGCCGCACGCGCTACTTGTCTGCTCCCTTCTGGTTGCTGGCTGTTCATTGAGGGACTTTAGTGTCGTCGCAAATGCTGCACGTTGCGGATAGCGCGGGAGGAGTCGGCCCCTGCTATGATCGGAGAAGTTGGCACGCTACTGCAGTTGGGCACCCATTTGCCTCGTACATGGCAAGGACCGTCCTCAGAGGTGAGGGCAGAGTTTTTCTCAAAGATGAGAATAACACAGCTACGCCCACCAGCCAGTCATGCGTTTTCCTAAAGCGCGCATTTTCTTGAATAGCGAATCTCTAAATTGCTGAGTATAGCTTCTTAGGCTCCCCTAAATCGCAGATTCTCCACATTCGCAAGATAAACCCGCCCTTTTCCCTTTTTAAATTGTTTTACAGGGCTGTGGGCAGTTGTTTGGCGTCACTTTTCGAGTGTGGTGGAGAACACCGGAAGATCTTGTAGCAATTATTTACGAATATCTTTGGTAATTCTGAAGAATCTGCATAAGACATCGATGATATCAGGCGACTCCGGTTATAAAATTATCACTGATTCGATCGAAAGATTCTTCGCGGCTATCAAGAAGAAAGATATCAAGAAGTAAGCTGTTTCGATAAGACTTTTACAGTCTCGAGCGAACTTACAGTCTTGTTCGCTGCGGCTGTTGGGGCGTGTCAGCGCGGCTGCATGGCTGCACTTGGCAGGGCGCCTACCCGTTTCTTCTTCTTTTTTCTCTCGGCGAGCGACAAGACTTATATCGTTCGTATCAGTCGTTTTCCATTATTTGATTCCGCTTATTCGCTTTAACAATGGTGGAGAACGGACTGGCGGCGCGCCAAATCCATCCCTCCTGGCACACCCCTTCATCCGCAGCGAACAAGACTGTGCATTATTGAATTAAGTTCATTCCTTTTTCAAAATTCTATTAAGATGGGATAGTCACATTGAGTACGCCGTTGAACTGCTGTCATTTCTCATTGATGAGTGGGGTATAGAATGCAGAGATTCATTGCTCAATCACTGCATACCTCTTGCTTCAACGCTCGTGGAAAAGCTCGACTTCTCGTCGCCAACGGCTACTGACGTGGTAAGAGTTCCTCTTCTCTTTCTAATTAGCTTTTTGTAATCTACTTATCTATCTACCCCATTACTCACACGGGTTGATCGATCTATACAAAGTGACCTGTACAAGTTCAACTGAATACCATTCGGTGCCCCGCCAAGCCGAACTGCGCCATATTATTGTTACAAAGTGACCATATGGTGCAGGAACCTCTAGGAGTCTTTCATTATGGTGTGAATGTTCTCTGTCCTGATAGGGTCGAAGTTTAGGACGTTTTCTGGGCGTTCTTTGATCGATTATTCCACCTTGCTGTGCCCGATTGTCGTACCAGCTGTTTGGTACCAAATGAGGCATATTCTCTAGCACAATCTGCATGTGATGTACTTAGAAGGTAAGAGAATGTGAATATTGTGCTTATTTCACCTCACTGTTCTTATTCCAAGCGCAAGGGTGTAGCACAATGGGGAATCTCCAGCAAAGGTCGTGTTTCGTCGCTGGTGGGAGAGGGATATGTCTGGCCTGGGAAAGAATTCAGTAATTGACTTTTCCCTATTCTACTCGCGCTATCCACAAAGCCGGCAGACTCCCGCTGCAGAATGTTCGTAATTGCTTGTCGCTTTGAGAGGTGGGAGCACACAACGGGGCTACACAACCTATCTCAGCGACGGGTGTGTCTTAATCAGAATGTCATGAATACCTAGCTTCCACCAAATATTACTCATTTAGAGCTTTACTTTCACTTACGCTTGGTCGGGTAGATTATGAACTCAAACGTGAATATGTGCCGCTATTTACTAGGTGAGTTCAGATTACTGACCATTCTGAAGGCTTCTGTTTTTTGCTTTTCTTGCATGGCATTTTTTAATTTCTAATGCACTAATGGTAGGGATTGTCTTAGGATATTATTAATTGCTGATTATACACCGTCTGTTGACTTGGATGTCAGTGTTGCGTGTTACACCCAACGTGCTAAACGTAGAAGAAGATTGGATTGTCTGGATGTGAGTTTTTTTAGCCCATGTTTGAAGACAAACTTGACGTTCACCTTTGTGGATCCTGTCTTTGCGTGCATCAGACGATTGGCCCGCTGCTGCAGTAGCGCCGTTTCTCCGGTCGAAAGTGCATTGGGACAGGGCTGGATTGTAATGATGCTTGAGTGCCGTGTCCAGACCCCACCCGCGTTGTCGCAGGCTACGCTTGGCCATGCCCTAATGCCTACTTGTCTCAGACCTCATTTCTGGCTGTTCTCTACTGCTAAGTCCGTGTTTCGCTACGGGATTTTACTATTGACGCAGTTGCTGCACATTGACGATAACGTGGGGCACCTTTGAGCGCTGAAGG